GTTTATTTGCATAATCCAGAACTAAATAACTGCCTCAACTGCTGTAAAAATAATGAAAATGGGCCTATTTATTTTTTACTATGAAGCACAAAAATGGTGGGGGAAGATGTTGGAAACCTCTGTGATTGCTGTTCTTCTAGATAGAAGTCCTTTAGCTGACTTTGTTTCAGAAGCAGATTAGCTCTGGGGAACTGTTAGGATATTGGGACAGATCTCCCGGTGCCCCTTAGAACAGGAAGCAGCCACAGCATGAAGCTACATGTTCGGAGTAAAAGAACAGACAAGAAGAAAGATGCATGTCTTTTAACTAATAATAGTGTAATTAATAGCTCCTGCAAATCACACTTATGGGCTATTTAAGCACCTTATTTGAAGATTACAGTTGTTATAATTTTCTCAAATAGTTTCTTTATTTACACTGTCCTAAATGAGAAAAGTTAAACAAAATTTTATATTCCCTTTGTAGTTTGTTTTAGTAAGACCTCTAAATTGCATTTCATTATAAATATATCTATAGACTGCCAATGTCATTGTAGAGTACAATATAGCTAGTAATTATTTCCAGGTGATGACAAATGGCATGATTTAAAAAACGCTTAACCCTTGAAATAAAAAGTATAAAAGTAATCACCTACCAAAATTTGTGGTTATTTTCTACTTTTAAAAAAACAGGTGGCATACAGTAAGCAGTATTGAAAATAATAAAAAGAATTTTAAACCATGCTACACAATTTTCTTACAACCCTGGACTACACCAAAATAAACAAAACAGACTAAATTCTAAAAATTCACTCCATCCTCAACAATTCGCAAATTTACACTATCTATTCATTCCTCCCTATAACTTCCTGAAAAACATTCTTCTGAAAACCACCACCCTCAGCCAAGCCAATGCCTTTTCTGTCTTGAACAGCCTCAACAGCCTTCACTGAGGCCAACTACATACGGTCCTTTCTCCAGAGCAGCCAGAGTAAACTTGTAAACACAGAAATCAGATCACACCGATTTTCTGTCAGAATGCTCCAAGGCACTCAGAAGGGAGCCCTCAACACCTACTTCTCCTCCACTCTGCCTCAGCCTTCTGGCCTTCTCTTCACTCCTCCAATAAGCAAGGCTCAATTCATTCCTTTTTGCCTGAATCTCTGACTCATTGCTCCTCCTCATTCATGTTTGTGTTACTTGCTCAGAGGGCTTGCGTTGATCACCCCTTGCTGAACAGCCCGCCGCTCCATCTTTCTAGCCCCCACCATACTTTATTTTCTTGATAGAACTTACTGATAATGCCACCACACAACAGTCATCTCTCTTTGCTGTTAGACTCAACCCAATCATGGTGGATTTGTCAGCTCGTGCTATTGTGTCCCAGGGGTCCAAAAGTGACCATAAAGGATGGACCCTCAAAATGTGTTAGATAAATAAATCGACTTTATAGATGAAGAAACTGAAGCTTAGCAAATTTTTGCCAAGGTTATAGACGAGCTTTAATTTGAACCCACATAAATATCGGGCATTCAAATTTCCTGGTCTACTGTAATTATACAGTGAAGGATTGCTGGTGCTCTGGTGGTGGGTGTAGTGTCACATACATTTGTAGTGGTGCGAACTTACATCCCTAAAACAGATAGTGTGCCAAAAACAATAAACCTAATAAAAACAAAATTCCAAAAATAGATAAAATAAATCAGTTTTCAATATCTCACTCTTCTCTGAATGCATATTAAAACTGGCAGTTTCCATAGCAGGCCAAAGTTGTCTTGCATGATTCCCTAGTTGTTGCATATAAAGACTAGCAAAGTGTTTTCCACTTATTTTACAACCTGGGAGTGAACAGGGCCTATAGCACATTTTAACAACATGAGTGATGCTTATTAACACTTGCTGATTGAATCAAGTTTCAATCCCTTCTACTCTGTTAGAAAAGGGACAAAGTTGTTTGTACCATCACAAGGTATCAACTACTACTTCAATATATACATTGTTTCAAATGATATCACAAATCTTAAAAAGACCCACTAGAAAAGAGGAAAGAAAATCTTTCAAGAGCAATATCTTCCTTGGACAAATTTAAAAACTGGTATTAAACAATGATTTCCACTAACTTGATTCCAAGTTGTCTTATACTACTTCTTTGTTACATGAGTATACTACAGAATGAAAACAAAATTCAATATTTATTTTTAAAACCTTGTTTACATTATCATTAACTCACTAACACCATTAGCAAATAACACATATAGTCAAATAAAACATACTGTAACAAAGTATCTCACTGTACTCAAAAGTTTGAACAAGAAGTTAAGGCTTCATATTATCATAACAGATTTCCAAAGTATATTCAGTCATTCATTGAATAAATACCACCACAGAACTAGGATAAGTCAATGTGCTAGGTGCTATGATTTGCTCATTTTAGCACCTACTCAAAATGTTGGTGTTGGAGTAATTGAATAACTACAATAATAGTCATATTGTAACAAATATCTGGCTAGGCTAGCAACATAGCCAATTAAATCTTTTTAAAAGTGCAACAATTTAAAGCCAAGGCAACCTTGCCTGACAATTACAGAAATTAAAATGCTCCAGAGGGTAAAAAGTCTTTCAAAAATTATGTTGCAGCATATAATCACCTTCAAATTATATAATATCTTCCATATACACAGTAGACAACTTTATACTCTACAAGTTTTTCTGGTGTCAATGAACACTGTTCAAACATAGTTGTTATTATAGGGACATGTTACTTCTTTTTACTATCTAATAGTATTAGTTCTCTAAGTGTTTTAATTTATATAAGTAATGTTTATGATTAGAAGATGGATTTATTTCCCTTCCTCCACTTTTAAAAACACTAGTAAACATGCTCCAGCTTCTAAAAAAATCATGTGAACCTCAGGCATTATTATACCTGACAAAACAAATTAGGCGCATTGTAAAAATAATAGTTACAGATCCTTTCACTTTTTGTGCTAAGGACCACTCCAACCCAAATCCTCTGCCTGTGCAGGTGATGTGATGTCCATGTGCCACATTCTATGTGTATCACAAAGCCACTTGCCACTGCCAAGATACAGAGTAAGTAAAGGTGCTTACTAATCTCCTTAGAATGAATGCTTGGTGCTGCAGAAAACTGGCAGACTAGGGTTGCAGGGCAGTACTGGGAAGAGGGATATGTGGGCCCCACAGAAAGGCACGGAAACCTGGTTCTGGGGTATCAGTTAAACATTTCTTTCAAAAAACAACATATTTTAGGACATAAGCATAAATTGGTCGTAAAGACGGTGTCAGTTTGAAGCATTTATAAAATAAGTATAATGAAAATTGTGCCGTCTTTACTTTTTTTAAAGAGAAAAAAAAAGTTTATTGAGGTGAAAAGGAACAGAAATAAAGTAGGACTCCCAGACCGGTGGAACCTGTGCTGTCTTTACTATTACATAGTAATAGTCCCAAAATAAATGATCTAAAATACTGTGGCCTTTGTCTGAACTTTAAGAATATGCAACTACCACTGCCATTTTTCTGTCATTTTTTAAAGACAAATTTATTTGTTTGTTTATGCAGAGAAGAACTGGGGTAGGGTATAGGCCAAAGAAGGTACAGGAGGTGAGAGTATTCACCAGTGACCAAGTGGGGAGCAGAATAGGCAGATTTGCTAAAATACACAGCTAAGGGGAGCAGGGGTGAGACAGGAAAGGTCTGCTGTGCCATATGTGGGTTAGCTTTCTGGCCCTGGCCAGGGGATGGAACTCAGGTGGCAGCAGTTGATAGTGCTGAGACTTAATGCTTAGGTCACCAGGGAGGCCCTCTATGTCATTTTTGTGTTAGACATTGCTCCTGTCACTTAAGCAGTTGCAGTCAGAATTAGACGATCTGAGAAGTGGGAGTCATTTAAACACACACGCGCACACACACACACGCACACACACACACACCCCCCCCACATCCCTCAACACATATTGAATACATTACTTACTAACACTCGATTTATAATCCACAAAATAAAAATGCTTGTTACTTTAATCAAATAAATTTTGATGCTGAAGGATTCTGAATAGAAAACAAAATCTAGACAAATCTACAACAAATATATCATTTCTCCCTGTCACTCTTGTTTCTGCACACTTGGGGAAGCACAGTGCTTCCCTTTGCCTTAGCCCTGTCCTAGCAGGTTTTACAAGGTTGAAAGACAAGCAGCTGTGGTAGGTCAGTGCCAGTTCTGGCTGCATCCTTTAATCTTTCAAGAGATTTCATTTCATTCTAAGAATATGGAGTGATGTTCAATAGTGAAGAAACATCTTTAAACAGTCATTCTATGAGCTCTTTGACACCAGTCAAATGTAGCAGGATGTGTTTACACATCCAGTTGTGGGCTCTTTACTGACATTGGAAGATCCACCTCAAGTAAACGACAGTCATAGGCCGTCTTCAGGATTTCAAGCACCTGTGCAAGGACAATGAACTTGTGCAAGGAAAACAAACTTGCTCTGAATCAACCCAAATGTGCAGAGAAGTCAGAACAAAAAAGTCTTGAGAAATGTCAAAGGGCTCGAAGTCCTATTTGAAGTGTGAGAATAGTGACTACAACACAGCACTTGTAAAGCTGAAGGTGAGACTGAGTTCCATGAATGAGGCCTCAGTTTACAAAGTTCTACCCAAACGAACCACTTATTGCATGGAAAGGCAAACAGCACCGAGAGGTTTCAAGATGATACAGCTATCTTGTTAGTCTACAAGATACAGATATCTATTTAGTCTACAAGCAAGTCTGATGCGCATTCTTCTAAAAGGCACCCAAAGCAACAAGTCCCGGTAAGTGTCACCTGCCCCAAAGCAAGTCTAGCTGGACCTCTGGGTTCTGAAAGGCCAGCGCCAAGAGGAACACTGGCGTGGAGGCGTTGATCCGCGCCTCTGCCTGCCCGACACCAAGCCCGGTGGAGCCGCGGGGGGGTGACTGGCATCCAGGCGTGCCCGTCTCGCCCCTCCCCCCACCCCGGCCCACTTACTGTTGCTGGACTTGAGGTCCCGGTGCAGGATGGGCACGACGGCCTCCTCGTGCAGGTAGAGCATGCCCCGCGCGATCTGCACCGCCCAGTTGACCAACACGTGCGGGGGATGCGGCGCGCGCGGCGCGGGCCCGGCGCGCGCGGGTCCGGGGCGGCGTTAGCAGCGGCCAGCGCGCGGTTGAGCGCACCGCCGCGGGCGAACTCCAGCACCAGGCAGAGGTGCGGCTGCCGCAGGCACACACCACGCAACTCGATGATGTTGGGGTGCCGCAGCATGGCGAAGAGCCTCGCTTCCCGCCGCACGCTCTCGGCAGCCGCCGCCGCGTCCTGCTCCGGGTCCCGGCGCGCCGCCTTCACGGCCACCTCCTGGCCCTGCCAGGTGGCGCGGTACACCTGCCCGAAGCCGCCGGCGCCGATGAGCTCCTTGAGCTCCAGCCGCTCGAAGTCGACGTGCACCGGCGAGCCGGGCCTGGGCGGCGCCGGCGGCCCGGCGGGCTGCGGCCCGGGGCAGGCGGCGGGCGGCACGGCGCCACGTAGTTGGCGGGGAAGATGCCCAGGCGCCGCTGCACCTGGCCGGCCCACCAGCCCTCGTCCCCGGACACGGCGGCGTCCTGGGACAGCACCTCCACCAGCTGGCCGCGTCTCAGGCTCAGCTCGTCCTCGCCGCGCGCGTCGTAGTCGTACAATGCGGCCCACAGTCCCGCGCCCGCCGAGGCCGAGGCGGAGGCCGAGCCTCCGGAGGAGGCGGACGACGACGATGCGGAGCCCGGAGGGTCGCCCCGGTCCGGGGACACCGGCCTGTCAGCCGCGCCCCCGGCACCTGGCAAAGCCATGGACGACGGCCGCGCGAGAGAGGGCGCAGCGGCGGGCTCAGCCTCCGGGCGGCCGGAGGCGCGCATCGTCCTGCGGGGTCGCGCCCGCGCCCAGGGAAGGCAGGGAGGCGAAGTCGGGCTCGGGGACAGTGGGTGATCACGGGCCCACTACCCGGAGACCCGGGCCTCAGCCCCCGTTCCTCCGCGGTCGCTTCTGCTGCTGCAGCGGTCCCCGCGGCCGCGGGCACTGTGGCACCATGGTGGCGCGCAGGGCGGGCGGCCGGCCCCGGCACCCTCGGCTGAGCCGCCGCGTGGGCCCGCCCCCTCCGGGCCCGCCCCGCCCTCCCGAGGCCCGCCCCTCACCTCCCGGGCCCGCCCACCGCGCCGGGCCCGCCCTGATGCCCAGCCCGGGGTCGCCCCCGCCCCCCGCGCTCCGGGACTGGGGTGCTTCGCGTCCACGTGGCCCGGAAGGCGGAGCCCGCGGAGGGTTGCTAGAAGTTGTCGGGAAAGTTTGTTGAGATTAGGGTTTGGTGGCCTCCCTGGTGGCTCAAGGGGTTAAAGCACCGCACTAGGAAACAATCCGCAGCCTCTGAAACACGAGTTCGATCCCCAGCCGGACAGGGAGCTACCCGCATGGCGCAGCAGCTGCTCCCCTCAGCAGTGCATTCAGTCAATCTGCCTGTTCTGTTCCCCGCTGTGTCTCTGGTGAATCCTCTCACCCCCCCCCCCCACCCCACACACCTCTGGCCTGTACCCCAGCTCTTGTATGCATAAATAAATGAAAAGATTAGAGTTTGGGGTGTCCGCTCTGTTTTAGAACTCGGTGGCAGAGGTGAGGAGCATGTGGTGTTTAGGGTGTAAACACAAAGGGTCTCCGTGCCGGGAGAGACAGAGCAGCCCTGACCAGGTCGCAGGACCGATCCGAGCGCTGCCGCAGACCTGCTGGGCAGGCTGCACGCTATGGAAATCACAGCGCCGCGCAGCGCCGCGCTGACTGGGTTACAGATCACCGCGCGCACCGAGCCGCGGGGTCCTTACCGTTCCGGAAGTTCGCCTGCGAGGCAGATAATGTTGCGTTTGTCCTCACTGTGTGCTCAGATGAGAAAGGAGTGTCTGTCTGGTCGCTGCAGCCCTAAACCCAACAGTGTTGGGTTTACTGGTATTGGCTACGACTGGGTGCCAGAGTCCCGGGCCGTACCTGTTCTCTAGAAGAGCGCATTGAGCAAGAATTTTTTGTGCACAGGAACTCAAGTCGTCACTAGTGTGCCGGCTCTTCTCTTATCCGTGTGTGCTTGACGTTTCCCAGGGAACGGATTAAGTGCATGAACATTCTGAAAGCAGCCCTTCCACCTTCCATTTGATTTGGGTATGGAATGATAGGTAGCCTTCTAGAAGAGTTAGAAAGTGAAGCTTTTGTGTTTGGGGCTAGGGACCATATCAGATGTAATGATTGGGAGGAATTTAGGATTTTCTTATATGAGCTTTCGTCTCTGTAATTTTTTCATTAATTCTATTTAAAAAGATCTCTTTGAGGTTTTACTGATGAGAAGGGTTGTGGAAAGGAATAAAATCATTAAATCGCATGAAGTGGACTGCTGTTATGAGTTGGCGCCAAGGGAGCAGGAGGGAGTTGGAGCAGAAGGGACAGCAGTGCCCCTCCCAGAATTGCAGGGACGTTCATTCTCCAGCCTGCCACCCCTCCATCCCTAAGCCCACTCACAGTTTCCACCTAACAACAGAGATCTCCTCTCTATGTTGATGAGATGTGGGAAGAAACTCTACATATAACATTACATGCAAGACCACCTAGGTTGTTAACTTAAGCACCTGGGTGGATGATGATGATGTTAAGTGATCCAGGAAATAAATTCAGGAGAAAGGCTATTTTGGGGCATGTTGAATTTGGCATGGTTTGGAGGCAACGTGTTAAAACAGTCAATATGAGATGGTCAGAAAGGTGTGCAAGAATGGAGGAAGCTGAACTTTGGAAGTAATTCTCTAAACTTGAATTACTTGTTATCACACAATGAAAAGAACTGATCTGGCCATGTAGAGAGCAGGGAAACCCACTGTGTGCCTTTGAGTTAGCAGGCCTGTCTGTAGCTATGTGACAGTGCTGTTGACCCTGGCAGACTTTTCATACCCTTCAAGGACACTCTGCTGCCTGCCTGATCCCCACCTTGAAGTAGAGGGATCAGTCCAGAGTATTCTAACTGAGATAAACCAGTCTTAACTCACATCCCTGGAACTAAGAGAGCAGTGCCCAGTGACTATAGCTCTTCACCCCACAGAGTTCCTCTTCTAGAACCTACTTGAACCTTGAGCAATGGATGATTCCCTTTGCAACTTTCCCCAACTAGGGACCTCTAAGCAGGAAACTGTCCAGTCAGGATGTCTTTCTGGTCTTCATTATCCTAAAATAATTCATTTATTACCTTTGTTTCTTTTCTCTTTAGCTCCCCAAATCTTACAGTTGGGAAAATAGCTAAGGCTATGCACTACTCATGTGTCATCACACCGTCCACTCTGTCTAGCCCAGCACATTCCACCAAGAAGACAGTAACACAAGAACAAAGCACTAAGACAGAACTTTGGTGAAAAACAACCTTAAATAGAATTTGGTGAGGAAAAAAGCTAAAATAGAATTTGACCAAAAAAAAAAAAAAAAAAAAAGAACCAAGGGAAAACAATAAAAAAGAATCAGGATAGCAGTGGGAGAGGCTTTATGAATTGCTCTTAAAAATAAAATGAATTTGGGGCCTCCCTGTGGTGCAAGGGATTAAGATGCAGCACTGTGAAGCTATCTACAGCCACTGCAGCAGGAGTTTGATCTCTTGTCAGGGAGGTGACCCACATGGCACAGCAGACCTCTCCTGTCTCACCTGCTGCTCCCCTCAGTAGTGTATTTCAGTCAATCTGCCTGTTCTTTTCCCCACTCTATCTCTGGTGAATCACACACACAACACACACACGCACACACACATCCCCAACACCTCTGGCCTGTATCCCAGTTCTTGTATGCATAAATAAATAAATCTTTTAAAAAATGAATTAAAGGTTCCCATCTTTTGGGGAGCCTTCCCCTAATTAACTACCACTGCTCCTATTATCTTAGCTCAGCAATTCTCAAGTGTGATCTGAGAGTCCCCAGAGATTCCTGAGGCCATTTTAGGCAGTCAGCATGGTTAAAACATATTTCATCCTTAGACTAAAATATTATTTGCCTTTTTCACAGTCCTGACATTCATCTTGATAGTGTAAAAGCAATAGTAAGCAGAGCAAATAAAGGCAGTGGCACCAAATTTACAAGTATTTATTATATTCTTCAGTGTCTCTCAGAGTAGAAGGAAAAAATACCAGGTCACTGAGGTGTTCTTGACAAAGCAGTGAAAATTGTTAATTTTACCAAATCTTGATTTTTAAGCACAGGTCTTTAATACTCTGTGACAAAATGGGAAATATAGAGAGAGCAATTCTGCTACATGCTCAAGCCTGATGGCTGCTTTATGGAAAAGCCCTTGGATTATTTATTGAACTGAATGCCAACCTGGTCACTTTGTTTATAGAACACTATCTTTACTTGAAAGAATAACTGACAAACTGTAGTTATTCAGATTTGGATATTTGGAAGACATTTTATTGAAAATGGGAAAACTTATTTTAGATTCCCTTTGAAGAGGGAGACTGATTTTCTGAAGGAAAAAAAAATAAACACACACTGATAGTATGTGTTGCCAATAGTATGTGTTGCCATTAATGAATTTGAGCTTCCAAGCAAAAATCAGAATTTTTGAAAACATGTACCTGCTTTTATGAGCTCAGCAATGTCCCAAACTTAAAGACTTTTCTCATAAGATTGGTATTAATATTAACAAATGTGATGTCTCAATGTTGTATCATAAAATTCCCAATATTTGGAAGATCTGTATAGCTCAGTGAAACAATATTTGCCGAAGACCAATATCTTTTTTTGATATCACAAAATCATGAATGGATAAAACACCAAAGTGAATTTTGACTTCATTAATACATATTTCAGTCTTCAAAAGACCACCACTTGTTAAGTTTTGAAATAGTATCAAAGAATATCCATGATTGTCTAAAAGCCTATTAAAAGTATTTCTGCCTTTGAAAATATTAGTGATGAACTCAACATCGCTAATTATCAGGGTAATGCAATTAAAAACCCAGTGAGATATTGCCTCACACCTGTTAGAATGGTTATTAGCAAAAAGACAAGAAATAACAAATGTTGGCAAGGATATAGAGAAATAGGAATCCTTGTACACTGTTAGTGAGAATGTAAGTTGGTGCAGCCACAGAGAAATGGCATATGATCCAGCAATTGTATTTCTGGGTATTCACCCAAAGAAAATAAAACCACTAACTTGAAAAGATATAATACAACTCCATGTTCATTGTAGCACTATTTATACTAGACAAGAAATGGAAACAATCTAACCATCAATCTATGGATGAATGGACAAAGAAATTGGAATATTATGATGTAATATTATTCAGCCATGAAAAAGAAGGAAATCCTGTCACTTGTGACAAAATGGACAGACTTTGAGGGCATTATGCCAAATGAAATAAGTCAGAAAAAGATAAATATTCTATGATCTCACTTATATGTGAAAAAAATATATAAAGCAAAAATGCCAAACTCATAGATTGAGAGAACAGAAGGGTAGATTCTACAGACAGGTGTGTCTTTGTGTGTATGAAATGGATGAAGATGGTCTATAGGTACACATTTCCATTTATGATATAAATGACTCATGGAATATTCAGCATGAAAATGGTAGTTAATAATACTGGATTGCCCATGGGAAAGGAAATCTTAAGCATTCTCATCACAGGAAAAAAATATATACAACAATGTATGGTGGTGACTGTTAACTAGACTTACTGTAGTGATCATTTCACTATATATACAAGTCTTAAATCATATTGGGAGTAATACAATGTGTTATGTCAATTATATCTCTATAAAAAAGAAATACTCAGTGGCAGGAAAA